CTGTCCCCACCCTCGGCCCCGAGGGGGCTTTCCCACGAGGTTTAGTGAACACAGGCCGCCCCACCAGCGCCGGGTCCAGGTTCTCAAAGGCGGATGCTGTGCAGGCGGGGTTCCCGTCGGGCACCAGTGAAAACGCGTCTCCCACGTTGCGCCCGGCGGCCTCACACCTTGAGGACCCGCCTCGTTCCTCACGCCCGAGCAGGACGCCCTGGCGCGACCGACGCGGAGCGTGAAGAAGCCAGAGTCCCCTCAGCACAAAACTCCCGCTCCCGACACGCTAGCCGCCTCCGCCGTTTTTTGTGCGCAATGAGCGAGGCCCCGCCGCTCGCGAGACCCACCGAGGGGTCCTATCCTGCAAGAGCCGCAGCGCCCCTCCTCCTATCACGTGACGAGAAGCTCTCGTTCCCTCCTGAGGCGCGGCTTCGGCGCACGCGCCCACGCACAGTGACGTTAGTTCCTGCCGGCGGCGGCTACGCGGGGTCCGACGCGGGATCATGGCGGCCACCGCCACGATGGCGAACTCCGGGTTGGCGCGGAAGCGGCTGCTCAAACAGGAAGACGTGACCAAAGTGGAATTCGAGAGCAGCAAGGAAGTGGACGTGACGCCCACGTTCGACGTCTCTCACTCGGTCTAACCTGCCTCCATGGAATCCATGATACAAAGTTCATGTCACAAAACAGACACTCATACTTATGAGCATCTGCTTCTGATGCCACCGGGAAGTGTCAGCTCTGCCTGGGCTGCAGTGTGGATAAGATGGCCAAGAGACATGTGAAAAAACGCTCAAAGCGGCTAATCATCAAAGAAATGCAAATTAAATCAACAATTGGGTGTCACCCCACCACTGTCAGAATGGCAGCCATCAGCAAATAAACAAACGACAATTGCTGGGGAGGATGTGGAAAAAAGAGAACCCAGTTCACTGCTGGTGGCAATGCAAACTGCTACAGTCATTATGGAAATCAGTTTGGTGTTTTTGCAAAAAAATAGAGAGGAGGGAAATCTCTGGGATTAAAAAGTAAAAAAAAATAAAATAGATTTATTTAAAAATGTTCTCCAATAGTTAAGAATTAATATTTAACACAACAACAATAATTGTAGCTCTGAGGGCTTCTATGTTTGGAGATTGTGCCCTTAGGAGTCTGTAAAAGAGGAAATTTAACTCAACCTGCAGGACAGAATTAAGCATCAGCGCTAAAACTTAAAACTCCTCAGGACAACCTAGAAAAAAAGTTTTGGAGGTTTTTTTTTTTATTTTTTAAATTATTTTTTATTAATTTTTACAGAGCGGAAGGGAGAGAGATAGA